CCTGTAGCAATATAGCTGCTACAGCAGTTGATTGCTGCAGCAGTTGCTGCTGCAGTTGTTGCTGTTGCACCGCTTGCTGCTGCAGCAGCTGCTGATGCAGCTATTGCTGCAACGGGAGTGTGATGATGATCAATGGTGGGGGGCGTTAGCGTTATGGTGCATAGCATCAAGATCTATTTCGAAGCAAGAGGTGATAGCTGTGCGTAGTTTCGTTTGTAAAACAGCAAAAGATGAATACTTTGGGAGTTTCATCATAAAAAAACAAGTGCTTGCGGATGGTAGCCGATCGTCTACACGTTGACCAGAAACCTGTCGGGGGCCTGAGAAAGATGTATCCACCGCCTCCAGCGCCTCTTCGTCTCTGAAAAAAATAAAAAAAAATAAAAAAAAAACAAAAAAAAAGAAACACAGTTACCCCCAGCTCAGTTGCTATACCCAGCAGCAACACAAGCAGTTCATATGCCTCGGTGCAGCAGTCTAGCTGGGCTATCCAGAAGGTTTATGTTGCATTACTATATAGAGTGTTTACTTTCATTTATTATAATTATTAATATAAATATTATTATAATAATTATTATTATAATTATGCAAAGTAATACAAGCGCGACAAATCCGGCTACTGGGGCAGGTTTCACTGCGTGTATTATAGCTCTGTTTTTGTTGAAACGAAAAAAAAAAATATTTTTTTTTTTTTGTGTTTGGGGTTTCGTGTACCTCATGATATGCAGCTCAAACATCCGAGTTGCCCCAGGCGTGCGGTCACCGAGAACCCAGCTCTGCGGCACCCGCGAGCGCCCCGAAACAAACCGCAGGAAGAGCCGACGCTCTGCCGCACTGAACCCCCGCAGAGCCTCCCACAGCCATCCCACCAGCTGACGTTCTCTATCGCTGTAACGATCCCAGACAACCTTGCAGTTACGCTGTACATACATACACGCAAACAAACACCAGTCACAAGCAATACACTTATTTCAACTATCAAACATACTAACCCATACTTAATCCAATATATATATATATAACTACATAATATATTACATTTATAATATATATATAATATTATATATAGATATTTTATATGACGCGAGAAGAACAGAAAGCAGCGGTATAATGGAGAGAAAAACACATATATGGAAGCAGCTGTGTCTGTCTGTTGCTTACCTTCAGCAACTCAACGTCTATGTCGGGCTCGCCGCACACAAGCAGCCGCAGACTGTCGGGCCGCAGCAGCGCCCGCAGTATGGGCAGCGGCACGACCTGGTGAAGGCCCCAAGCCATCAGGGAGATAGCCTCGAAACCCTCAGATAGCTGTAAAACACACAACAAAAAAAAAAAAAAAAAAAAAAAAAAAAAAAAAAAAAAAAAAAAA